ATCAAATTTGTCGTCGATTTTTCATCCCAAATAATGTTTTCATGCAAGAGGAAAAGTAAACAAGACAATTGTTCTAATGATTGTCGCATCTAACTGGAAAAAATAAAAAAACTATTTTTGAAATAGAAAATGCGACCTTTGGACATTTTAATCTATTTGGCTCTATTGTTTTGCCATAATTGAATATCCCAAATGGGAAATCTTTACCAAAATTAAATTATAAATGAAATAAGCTGAAAGAGTCTAAAATGGAATAAATGCTCAATCGAAACGAATCAATTCATTGCTTTTCTCAAATCTCTTTTCTTGCTTCGTTGCAGATAAAGACGTTTAAGCGTTATTAACTAATAAATCATTACTTCAACCTGTGGTGACAAAAAACGGAAGCCAAGATAGTCGGCCTAGAGTAATAGATAAGGCTGGATGATGTTGCAGCCTCATCATGCATTCACAGAAATTAACTAACAAAGCAAAAAATAAAAAGAAAAAAATGCTAAAAATGCTAACAAAAAAATATTAGCAAACGTTGCTAATAATTTTTTTCTTGAAATTCGAAATCTTTTATTTAACATAAAGTAATAATGGAATTGCAGCTGCAATAGTGTGCAGTTTGCAGCACAACTCAGTGGATCCCATATGCTGTGAAAAATATGTAATGCTCAAAAATAAATTTATTGATAGGTTTTTGAATCTTTCACTTTTAAGAAGGAAGAAATTATTGATAAGTAGGAATAGCTAATTGATATGGATTATTACAATTGGGAAAGTGATAAAAAATGATAATGAATGAAAGAATAAGAGGCAGATGATAATAAATAAAATGACTGAATTCACTGATATTGCTCCGTTGAAAGATAATACAAATTTGAAAAGATTATTAAATATTAGGATATATGATTTGAAGTGTTTATCACATTAATGCTAAGTACTTGGTTTGTTCTCGAAAAACTGACGCTTAACTCTTGGACGCGGTAAGAATCGAGGATATCAGTTTCAAAACGTTTGATAGTATGCCGATTCAGATAAACCTGATGATGTTGAATGTAATCAGAATTTATAGATAATGATAGCGACATGATATGATAACTGAGTTTGTGAGTAGTAATTGCTAATGTAAGTGCTGACGACAAAAAGGAAACAGTTGGCAATGAGATAGGAATATTGCTATGATAGATGATAACAATGACTTGAGTGATATTTGATCTGTTCAGATTTCAAACTTCCAACGTAATGTACAATGACAAGAGGATTGATGAGATCGGTTTCTCAGTTAGCAAAACTTTCTCGCTTCATGTTAAGAGTTAAATAATCATAGAAATAACGGAAATAGCAATGGATGGCTGATATTACAGTAATACAGTAAAAAAAATTAGTAAAAATTATTACAAAAAAATATTACAGTAAGCATTACAGTAAAAATTATCTTACCGATACTTCCGTCATATCTTATACTCAAGCCGTGAAAAATGAACTTATGAAACTTTGTATACTTGAATGAATCCCGAGTAATTCATTCCATCTTCAAATTAACAGTAGCAAGCTTAGTGATACTGTAGTCGTTTGTCAGAGCTGAATGACTATAATCCAGGAATTTCTCGAAACATAGGGTTGTAGGAAGAAGCGAATGACAAATGATCACTTTTCTATTCTCCTGTACAAACATTAAACAATAGGAAAGCCCTGAAGTCAATTTAAGACTTTTTCTTTTTCATCCAATATGGTGAAATTTTAATGTCCTTTTCAAGCTTTATTCCTACTTCGGTTTATAGCTACCAGAATGTTTGAACATTTTTTCAAATGACCAATGTAAATGAATGATTGTTACTCGTTTATTGCACAAATTATTGTTATTCATTCATTAATTTCATCCAAATATTTTTTGATTATTTCATCAGATAGAAAGGATAAGATGAATGAAATTGCCGAAGCTGATCAAAAATGTTAATATAAAAGAAAATTCGAAACAATATAACCCAACAGAAAATCAAAATTTAACTGTTCGAGGGTTATAACCCTAGTAGCATGTGTTATTTTCTGAAAAGAAATAAAATCAATTTAAGAAACTTTTGATCAAATAAGCTGAAATTTGAAGTGACAAGTTTGAATGAATGATTAGATTTAAACAAATAGCTTATGATTAATTTCTAAATAGTTTTCTTCAAATAAAAACAAAAATGACAATAAAATAGTATACAATTTCTTCGCATTTTTATTCCAATCTTATTTTTTTATCAGCAAACCATCGATGAATGAATTATCACTTATGGCTATCAGCTTTGACAATTTAAATTAATTACTTTTTTCTAGAATTTTTCTCATCATTTTTTTATTACACTGAAATTACTTAGTTGCATAAAATGGTTACATTTGGAAAATTTGGTGAAAATTTTATCCAAGCTTTATTTATATGGCCATACAAAAACAAGCCATGTAAAACTCCTAGGCTTCACTATAAGTCTGTAAGAGATGGATCGTTGTTTCAACATATTTCATTAATGAATGAGATGGATGATGGATAAAAAGATGGAGAAGTTTGGGAAAAAAATACTTGGGAGAAAGTAACGATGAATTTTATTGTCTCTAATTAATTCTCAATCGATTAAAGATTGAAATCTGAAAAATATAACTCCCTCCTTACCTTATCCTCTCTCTCTTTCTCAGTATCTATCTTGATTCTATCAAATTGATAAGCTCTAACATCGAAACTTTAAATCCTTGTGAATTTTCTCTGCTATCAATTACCTCTCATTCTTCTACCCTTAACATATCAATGAAATCAAAGAAAGTGATAATTTCATGCTACTTCGTTCTTTCAATCTTTCCTTCTTTCCTCAATTAAAACTTCATTTAAGTGAAAGAAAAAAAAAAGGAAAACGAATAATTACATTTCTAAAACATGATAATGAATTCTAATCATTTTGTGCATAGCCTAGGCTAATCATTAGGTACACTCCGATCAATCTGTGCATAGTCTAGGCTATCATTAGGTACATTCCAACCACTTTGCATGTAGTCTAGGCTATGTTTAAGCGTATTTCAATCATCCTATGTATAACCCTAGGCTATCTTCGGGTGTATTTCGACATCATATGCATAGCCTAGGTTATCTTTAGGTGTATCCCAATTATTCCGTTTATAGTCTAGGCCCTCGTCAGGTATTTCTCTCCTTTTTTGTTTAATTCTTGATATACTCCTTGTGATTTATGAATAATTAAAGCTAACATAAGTTTGAAACAATGAAAATCAATAAGTGAAACGGAATAGTTCAATAAAAAAGAGCGCATAGTAAATGAATTAATCAAATCTAATCATTGTTAAGTTGGAGTGAGTTCAGGAAAAATCAAACAACAACAAAAGAAATCCTCAATCTTTAAAACTATTCGAAATTTCAGAATAACATCGATTAGATGTCTAAAAGACTTTTTTATTTAAAAAAGTTATCTTGAATTTAACAAAGATTAGTTCATCATGGTAATGCATTTTGATTCTCCAAAACTGAGATAAGTAAAAGTTTTCGAAGAAAGTTTCACATCATTTTTACATTTTCATCTAATTTAAAGGTTACAGTAACAAATCTCAGATAAGAAAGACACATATACATATATATCGAAATTTATCTCACTCAATTCTGTAAAACTTTCATCCCAATCTTCGTCGAACTCTAACCTATACCAATTATCATAGATTTTGAGCTCAGTGATGGCAGTGTCATCACTAATTGTCTCAGTCTCGTCACTATCTATTAACTGTTATAAATAGCTTTTGAAAAAAAAATTTCCTGCATTTATTTCTACATTCATTTATAACTCACTACTTCTCCTCTTTGCCAATACTTTCATTTTCCGATTTATCAAACTGGAAATTATATAAGATAATTTAATAATTAAGTTGTTTTCTAAACTTGAAGTTCGAATTGGTTTTAATAATTTGAAATCAATTAAATCTACTGTGTCATTGTTCACTAACCCTTATTTAACGGTACACTTCGAGAGAATGACAAATTGATTTACCGCTATCAAAGGTAATTCAGGCTTAACTTGAACAATTTCCTTTTTCTTGGCTCCTAAGTTGTCCAAAGATGAAGTCTTCAAAGTAGAGTAAACCCTTGAAGAATCAGAAGTTTAAGGGAAGTGACGATAAACCTGCGGACAATTTCAGAATTTGTTTTGACAGCAGTATCTGAGAACTGTAAACGAAAAACGAAACAAAAGGTTGCAAGCCCAAGAATGAAGCCTTGTATTTCATTGGCTTCTTATCTTCACGACAATGATATCTTTCATTAAGGCTCAAATTTAACAAATAACAGAAAGGACATTTAGCGCCTTACAAATTTCATTTTCATGCTAACAGTAAATGCAATTATTTGATATCTTCATGAAAAATGTTTACCCCTATTGGAAGCAAAAAAAAAGAAAAAAATGGCTTTTCCAGTTACGTCATTTTCAAGCATGAGTGCGTGAGGTTAAAGGTTAGGGCAACACAATAAATTTCAAGTCCAATTATCTTATTCAAAATAGAATCAATCATCATAGCTCATCTCCGAAATTTAAACTGTTACTTCAAAAAGACATTAAGCTAAGAAATACCATTGAAACTGCAAAATGAACACCCCGAAATATCAGGGAAATTTGGAGTCTTGTCATCACTATTGTCAACAAGAAGTTTTGTCGTTACTTAAATTTCATTCACGAATTTTTCAGCATTCCATCGACTCTTCCTCATATTATATCATTGTCGTTTAATTTCATTTAATTAAAAACATCTTGAAAATAAACAAATTTTGCAAGATTGCAACGGGTTGATAATTTTAAATCAGTTTGAATAATTGAAGCAAGAAGTAAATTAAAACAGTGACAAACTTAATTAGAACAATAATGATGGTTTCATTTATTGTATTCTAATAGCTCAAAAAAGTTTTCCTAAATGATAAGTGCGCAATGGCTATCTTTGCTGTTCAAAACACTTGGAATTTCTATCAGTCAGATATTTAAAATTCTGAATTAAACTTCAAAAAATAAATTAACCATATGTTGCGTCCATTCGACCAACGATGGTCGTCGGCTTCGGACCCGTCCAATACTACTCATTTTATGCCAGTCGTATGATATCACCGTGTTAATATCACCGATTTCAGCACCACCAATACCAATAATTAACTTTTGATTTAAACAAGGCGGTAATGAGCCGTAATGAACAGGTAATGTCCCTCTAATATGCAAACGATTGTTGAATGTTTCAGTAGTTGTTGACACTGGCGTAGGCTGAATACTGAAAAAGGAGAAGAATTAAAGTTCTATTTTACAAAATTCACTTTTTTTTTAAAGTAGAAGTTACGGTTAAATAAAAATGATTGTTATTTGGAAATTTTGTAAAAATGGATGACCATGACTTCGATCATACTAATCTCGCGTCATCCTCATCCGTTATTTTATTAATCCCTGTTTTCTGCGGGTGCTCCGTTATGAGAGGAATCAGGGGGTCTGGATGGTAAACACTACTGATATATATATGTAGTGAATACAATAGCTAATAATATCTGTAATAATTTCTACAAAAGTGGTGAGAACTAATTATTTTTGATCGTATTCAGAAATAAAAATTACTAGTATTTATAGCTTAAATTTTGAAGGTTTCGTTGAAATTTGAAAAGGATATAATTAAGTTAGGTAAGTTAAAGCATGCAGGTGAAGTGCGCAATCAGTAAATTTGTAATCAATAAATCCGCTTGCTAAGATATATTTAGCTAGCAATTTAATGAGCTTTTAAATTACAAATTCCCATCTTATATCTGATGGAAATTCTGAATAATTCAAAATTTCACTTTGAATTAATTGAGTGGAAAATTTTTTGAGAAAAGAAATTTGATAGTATCAAAAAGCGAAGTCAGATTTGTTTCAATGGGAAAAGGAAAAACGAGAGATTGATTTTTCAAAATGAATTAATACTTAAAAATCAGTCAACAATTTCAAATTTTCAGTACAATAAGTCATCGAGTAATATTTTAATGAAGCAGTTATCGTGAAAAGATTCAATGAAAAGCAACGACGAAGACGTAAACGATTATTTGCAGTGAATATGAATTTTTATCAAAATATAGTAATCGTAAATTTCAGTCCAAATATGAAAAAAACCAATTTCTGGTTTAAACCATTTCAAAAAGGTTTGTTTTTCTTCTATCATAATAGTTATGAAATAATCAAAACGGACTGTGGAAATCTCTCTCTGTGAATAGAATTTTAATATTATCCAATTCTTAATGTCTATTCTCGATAATACTTAACAATTTAGTAGCAATCTCAATGAGTTAATTTTGTTAATCCAATAAAAATACAATTTTTTTTTTTTGAATTTTTTTGAATAATTTTGCAATCCAATAAAAAAATAATTCTGTTAAGTAAATATTAAATGCTATATTATCATTCATATAAAATGAAAATAAATATTATATTAAAATTAATATTACCTACAATAAATAGACAAATAAACAATTTAATCAAATAACTAGTAATAAATAAAACAATTCAAACGGATGAACAAATGACAACAAATAAACAATCCGATCAAATAAACAACTAACAACAAATAAATAAATAATTGAACCAAATAAATAACTAATAATGAATAAATAAATAATTCAGATAAATAAATAAATAACAATAAATAAATAAACGATCCAACTAAATAAAGTGCTAATAATAAATAAATAAACAATTAAACTAAATAAACATTCAATATTATGTTATTATTTATATAAAATGATAATAAATGCTATATGACAATAAATATTATTTATAATAAATAAATAAACAATTCATCTAAATAACTAACACAGGAAAAGTTAAGAAATATCCAAAGTTTCAGTGAAATCTTCAGTGAATGTAATGCAAAAGTTCCATCCATAAATTTTGGGAAGAATTTTTCTTAAAACAAAAATATTCAAAAACTATTTTTGAAATGTTTTCAAAACAATCAACAATACTGCTCTTCAGATATATACTGCATATCATATCGCAGAATACTTCCATCAAGATATCACTTCCAAATATTGTTATCAATTAATTTTTACAGAAACAGCTTTTCCATAATTCATCATATGAATCTTAAGTGTCCAAGTGTCCAAATGTTTAAGTTGTCACAATCAACAAATGCAAGCATTACTGCTAATAATTACTAATATAGTTTGCGTGGACTAAACATGGAATATTTATTAGAATTAAAACCTAAATATCACTGAGACCTTTCCACTTTCATTCATTCATCCACACCATCAGTAGTGATATTATTATAATGATCGGTAACCCTTATTATTATCGTTTTCGGAATATTAAATAAGATTGGCTTGACTTATTGTTTCTTTTCGAAACATTCTTATCCGCTCTAAAATTACTTTCGCGGTGAAAACCCCCCGCTCACTGAGAATTAACCAACTAATTTATATTCACAAATAATTTTGATCAAAAAATATTTCTATAAAATTTCGGAATATTTTTCAGCAATATTTCATTAAAAAAGTCAAAATTTTCCAAATCTCTAAACAACATTAAAATGAAGATATTTTACTACGAATATATTCTAATTAAGATACAAATGAGAGACCGGTGAATATAGAATTTTTAATTTTAACATATTATTATGCTTAGAGCATAAATCTAATTGTGATTTCAAATCGATGTTTCATTTTTGAAGTTAAAATCACTGATGAATCATCCGACATTATTTTCCTCTCTATTTATCCTAAATTTTTAAATTTGATATCGAAAGTTAAATTTACGTGAATAAGCTGCTCAAATAGATCGAACCTATAATATCCAAGAATTTACATTTTTAATTAATTATCTATAAATGAGTCAACGACTAATCGTCTGGCTCTATATATGGAATATAATTTTTTGAAGAAATTCATCGGCAGGTATCTCATAAAAAGACAAAAGCAAAGGACCAAAGAAGCGCACTTAGTTAAGCCTTTTTATAGCAAGAGAAAGAGAAAAAGAAATGCTTTGAAGTATTATTTGAAGTTTGCTCGATAATATCATTGTGTATAATTTCCGTACCCGTAATCATCAAACATCACCGGAATCCACAAACATGCAACTTTGTACATTTCGGAAACGATTCTGATAAAAGTGAGGAATACAACAAATCATAACTTTATGACAGATATGGCTTTTGTCCTATTTGGTGTAAATTTTCATCGGCGCTGCAAATCATTTTACTTGATGGACAAAAACGTCACTATACTAGAAAACTATCAATTATACGTTAATTTTTAGTTTTACAAAATTTCATCAAATATAACCTTCAAAGTTTAATTAAAATTTTGAAGCATATTTTCAATATTACTCATAATATTTCTAAGATTTTAATAAGAAGAATTTAGTTGAACTTCTCCCTCCCCTCGTCATCACTCTACTGATTCTGATTCCTGAATTAGTTTAAACAAAATGTGCAGAAATAATGGAATAAAATAATTACCAGAATGAAGAGGGGAAAGATAATCCATTCAGGAACGGAATGAAAACGAAAGAAGCCACTTAAGCACGAATTCAATATTTCTCTCTCAAGTTTTAATTTCGGAAGAAAAAAATTGAAATGAACAGTATTATACGGAAGAAAGTATGAGAAATGATTTATTTTATGCAGGAATTTGAAATGGAACAAAGGCGCAAAAGTGAAACAAAACTTTTCGATTGCATTTGATGGAAAAAATGGAGAGAGAGAGAGAGAAAGAAAGGAAATTATGATGAAAAGATAAAAATGATTTTAAACGGTGAATGATAAGAGGGCAAAAATGATTTGTCAAAATGACTAAATTTTTTGTGCTAACAGAAAAGTACATGCTTTTTTAAAGAGAACTTTAACGATGTTATCTTAAAATGGACAAAACGAAATATGAAAACACAGAAAAAAAAAAGCTTTTCTTTTGCTTTCATTCCAACAAAAAATTGAGAGAGAGAAAAACTTGTAATAGTGATAATGATGATAAGTATACTGTAACAGTCATCTGAAGGCATTCTTTTTGAGTTTGTTTTACAAATTTTTAGAAAGGAAGTACATCTTAATAAATAATCAGAGATAGAAAGAGAAAAAGAGAAAGAGAAAAGAAGCCTAAGGCTCTACAGTATTCTATTGTCCACAAAAACTTAATGTTGATTGATAAACTGATAGTCATTTGAGAGAGTTAGAAACAGTAGAAGTATTTCCGAAGATGCAAGATTAACAATCGGCCTTGATTGAAACTTTTCGTCCTACAACTTCCTAAATATTTTGTTTATTTAAAAAAAAAAAAAAAGAAAAAAGGAAATAATACCCGAATAGCTGGAACAGATGATAGCAATATTGTTGAGGTATTGGAACAACTTGCCAAATCACTGAAATAATTTTATTTTAACTTTTTCCTGAATTTTTCAAAATATGTCAGATTTAAAAGTCGAAAATACATATTGGCAAAGGATAAACTGTCGCGACAAAATTCATCAGGACATGAAATATTACTACATCAACCTTTTATCTCAAAGTTTAAGTAATAATACTCTTGAGATTTTCCTAAATGACAGATCAAATCTAATTGCATTTAAAGTTATTCTAAAATCTGGAAGCTTATAAATAACAATAAGTTAAAGATACAAAAAAAAAGGAATAAATAAATCACCAATTGGTTGATAAATATCCCCCATCTTCATAATATTCAGTAAATCATTCCAAAGATAGATGAAATTGTCAAAACCATTTACAATAGGTTATCAAATGCTTTGATGGATCAGACGGAGGAGGGAGATGGAGACTTTTCAAGGAAAGCAATAAAGTAATCTTTGTTACAAATATTTTGTGGCTTTAATATTCTTCTGTTTGTTAAACCATCTCCGATGTAAGGTAAAAATGGGAATGGTTGTAGTGATATTAGTAGTAACAGTAGTTGTAGCAATGTGATTGCGTGTGGTTTTTTTCTTGTTTTATTTAACAAAACTAGCAATGAATAAAAATAAATAAATAAGATCAATAAAGGAATAGATAAGTTTACACAGTCAATTGAGAATCTGAAAAATGAGGCCGGTTTTTTTTTTTTTTGAGCAATAAGTTACTTAAAAAAAAAAAAGAATCCCCTCTTGAAAAACCACAATCACTTTTTGCTTATTGAAAATGTGATATTTACTTTATGTATCTTTCCATCTATCGTCTCATTTCTTACATTCTTTTTAATATTTGAAATAAATGAATTATTTATTTCATAGTCTCAATATACGATACCAATCAAATAGCAATTCGATTCGAATTAATTTATATTCAAAATTATTTTTGGCATAAATTAATATTATATTTAACTATCAAAAGTAAAAAGGAATGTTTGAAAAAAGTATCCGAAAAGTGTTTTAAGTAAAACTTGAATTCAAAATATTATGAATAAAATGAATCAATTCATATTTCAGATAAAAATTTTAGACCCAAATTTAATTAAAAAAGCCATAATTTGATAATTGGTTACTGTAGAGGAAAGGTAAATGGGGGATAGAAGGAAGAAGTGCGACATTTGCTACACGATATACCTTCAAAATACTTTGTTCACTGTAACAAGCATCCTTTTCAACGCATTAATCATCAAATCAACGATATATTATTAGGTTCCCAAACGGTTACCAATTAAATAAAGAATGCGCACTTGTCATCATTAACTAATATGGCTGAAGATGGGTTAACGCAGACGATAGACTTCAATTTAACTGTTTAACAAACCGTTTAACATGTTTTAAAGTGTCGCTCCATTTACTCAAATACGACATCATCATAATTTGCGAATTTTCATATTGGATATTATTAAGCATCTGAAGACATAACTCAAAAAAACATCTTAAAATATGTTGAAATTAAACGATAAATTAATTTATCGTTGCTTTTCTGAGGTCACTAAGGTCATTCATTTAAAATCATTAGGAGAGGTTTTTTTAGGATAAATCAAAGAAAGGAAGGAAACACAGGAAATGTTAAAGTAATTAAATAAGCGTACAAGTTGATCAGATGTCATCAAAATCTTATGGTTATGCAATAACGTTTTCAAATGATGACGTACAACCACTTTGTATACGGATACTGTGTATGAACGTTTAAGAACGATCAACACTTTCAGGTGTGCTTGTTTGGAACTCGTCACTTTCGGGATGTTAACCTGCTTCAATATTCCAGAAACTTCGCTACCTTTGAACGGTGTGGGAGTGTCCAGTTGCGGATAACAAAGAAATGCATTGGAAAGAAGTAAATTTAATTTACAAGAAAATACTGAGAAAGAAAATGATGAATTCCTTAGATAATAATAACTAATCTAAAAGAAGTAATGAAATCCCAAAATAGTCTTCGATAATTTATAAGAAAGTAAACTTCCGCGAAAATAAACAAATTGTTACCTTTGAAATGAACAACAAAAATGAAAAGATGGAAGTTGCACAAATCTGTAGATGACAAAAGAGCCAATCCTTTTGTTTCTATGGAATTAAATTTGAAATTTTAATCGTTCTTAATGAATAATTCGAAATCGAAACTTTGGTAGCCAAAGAAAATTGTAAAAGTGCTGAATCATTCAAATTAGTCAGTACTCAAATATAAGTTAGAAAAGAAGTGAAACAGAATCGAAAATGGAATTTTCAACTTTTAGCATTGTTTTTCATACCGCCTGTTTCCTGATTTTCAAGATATGGTGAAGAGGTTCAAGAATTTCGAGAAGATGGAGAAACTTGGAACGGAGGCTTAAAGATTGAAAAAAATGTATCACCGTCAAACAAATAGGGATAGAGTTATAGCTATCAGAATTAATTTAAGATTAAAAAAATAACTTAGGATAATTTTTACGATAGCCTTCATTTTAAGGTAACAAAAAAGAAATACAAGTTAAGATGACAGTTATACTAAAATTTTGCCACTTATTTGTAAAGTCACTTGGAACAATTTATGGGACTTAATCTAAAGCAAAACCCTAGCTAAAAGATCCTACTGTATCAAGAAGAAAAAAAAAAACAACCTCTTTTATATCACTTAATCAATTTTGTTTATGATTATTGTTCAGACATTTAGTTTAGCATATTTGTCAAACCATTAAAACCGTTCTTCAAGTGCCAGTCGTCAAAATTCGAATGAATTGTTTTTAATTGTGCAGTGATAATTATCAGTTGTGTTAACTGGCAACTAAGATGAAATAATTAGTGCATAATTTAATATATTAATCACCGTAATTATATAAAAATAAATATTTAGTAATTGGAAATATATCAGGCTTAATTCTACATTATATTATTAGAAATTTTCTATTCATAGAAGTGTGACGTAACAGAACTAGAAATTGAAACAAAGATAACGAAATGGAATGAAATGATCCGATGACTTCATGGCTGTATGATAATTGCGCCACCCACCGGTCAACCATCTCTATCATTTTTAAATTCCTTCTTAGAGTTAACTTCACAATATTGGTTCTCTCACACCTGTAAATCCATATGAATCCTTCATAAAGTGACGTATAAATCTCGAAAATTCATTCACATTACCCAATTTTCTCATTCTCTAACTCATAGATATGATCCAATGGAAATATATGTGGGACACACGTGAAGGTAAAAGAGATTGTAAAGAATTGAGGAAGATGACGAATGGTAATAGGAACGGTTGGAATGTGACGATTTAGATGACCATTACCCATCAACATTTAACTCTCTTCATAGATACAGAAACGACAATAGCGAAATGGACGAAAGTGCTGGAATGCGCAAATGTAAAGTGAAATTATTCAGCAAACTTTGAGAATTTGAAAATGTCAACGTTCTGAAATGACTAAGGAGCATTTTTAGCTATTATGATAACAACTTTTGAAAAGTTTTTGCAAAAAAAATATTCCGATCTGAGATATTAAAATAAATGTGCTGAAAAATAATTAAGTTAAAATAGTCTAGAATTAAATTAGTACTCCAGCTGAAGCGATTTGAAATTAAAGATTGGAAAAACTATGAAAATATTCTAACAGTCATGAGACTTTTGAAATATACAATCAATTATTTTTTCCTCAGTTCTAATTATGCGAAAAATCAGAAAAAAAAGAACTTTGAAAATCGGTAGTGTGTAGCTATCATTTTATGCAATATTATTATTCAATTAAAGAATTCTAACACATAAAAAGTTTTGAATCTAAATATATTCCAAGAATTCATGCTTAAAGTCTTTAATAACACTAAAAAAAACTTCTTATTATTAACGAAATAAATTGTAGAAAAAATGAAGTATGAAAGGAATTCAGCCAGCCTTCAAATTTCACATATTTCTTCCTTATCAGTTGATCAGTTATAGAGCAAAATTATTGGCAAAAGATAACAAAGAAAAAAAGAGAAAACTTTAATGGAAAACTTGAAAGAGTCGTCAAACAATCAGTAAGTGATAAAAAATTTCAAAAATAGAGAGAGGAAGAAATTATAATGGAAAATTTAAAAGGGTAATTAAAAGGAATAAATTATACTTAGAGTGTTTTCGTGAATTTATTTTGAGATTGTTAAAATTTGATGATAATGATGATGATTCTATATTTGAATCAAGAAGATTTGAGGGAAAATCATTAACTTAGATTAATGAAGTAAATGAGAAGAAAAATAAATCTCATATCTATCAGTAAGAGAGTATATGAAGAAGCATACTGATGGTTTAAAAAAAAAGAAACGATTTTTATCAGCAAACTTTCTAATATTCCTTTCAAATCAATGATAGAAAAGTTTTTTTTCACAAAAAAAACAAAATAAAAAGTGGAAATTTCAACTTAGCTAAGTAAAATGAAAGAAATGGAAACAGTTACATCAATGTTAAAAAATAATTCTCAACAGAAAAATTAAATAGTTTATATATTTCACTGATAAAAGGAAGGCACTATTCAAGGATATGTATTACTTACTGATCGATGCGAACTTCGCTTCAATTAACTTTTTTCCTAAGTTATATACAAACAATACCCAATTATAAATTAGTTTAATTAATTGAAAAGTGTTGAGTAATTTCGGGTGGTACCTTTCATTCAAGTTGACTTATCAAAGATGCATGCATTTGGAGTGATGATGTGATGTTGTGACATTAAGCAAAGACAAGTTATCACGAAATTTTCAACATTGCACACAAAATTGGCGTTCTTGGTATTTCCTGTCTTCAAGCGCATCCATTCCTTGGAGTATTATGCAAATATTATATCGGGAAACTTATTGACATTTTTCCCATTAAATTCCAAATGACTGTATACATTTCATTGAAGTTCATGAATTTAACTTATAATTAAACTTTGGGATGACTAATTAACTATGTGTGCTAACAAGTGTGACATATAATTAGGGAAATAGGTAATATCTTTGCTCATATACTTCTGAAAAATTGGACCATTTAATAGGCAGACAAATATTTGTAGTTCAGGGGTCAATACAGATGAGTAGACAGATAGATGGACAGATGGATGGGGATATATATTTTATAAAATCAAGCAACTTGCTAAGAAGAAGGCCTAAAGTTGACGAAATAGTATGACGGAAAAAGAGGAAGAAAGAATGGAATGGAATGCACTTTAATCAGAACAGTAATAATCTTTGAAATTTTGATGAGAGAAATATAGGTCGTTCTAAAATAGGTATCTTGAATGAAGGAGATATATTAGTATGAAAAGAGATAAGGGAATGATAAAGATTTGATTTAAGTCAATGGCATTTTATAGTTCAATGAAGGAAATATGTAATTAAAAAGCAAACCTAATTTCTAATATTATTATAGCAAATTTCTGAATCAGTAAACTGAAATTTGTCGTTTTTCTATGTTTAAAAAAAAAAGAAAAATTTTTACAAATATTGATTATAGACTTATATAAGTCAACTACTTCTAGACATTTGTGATTTTAACTTATCAATGTGTTATCAGTCAAAGAACAAAGTCAAATTAAATTAATTCAACTAAATTAACAAAAGTGGTATGGTAAAATTAAGAAATTTTGCGATAAAAATTTGAAAGTGAAAATGCAAAAGGAAAAAAAGAAGGAAAAATTTTGTTCTGTTTTTGTGAAACGTGTAAGAAGAGAGAATGAAAATTCAAACAAAAGTGAAAGCTTTTATCGAAAGAAAACCTTTTTAGGCAAACAAATTTTGGATTAGTTTGAAAAAATTAATAAATTGAAAAATTAAATGCCAAAGTGACTTCAATTTTTTTTTTCTTTTTCTTTTTTGCATAGTGTCACATTCCAATGTGTAATACAACAAATTATCAAATAGGATATATTTCCCCATTATGTAACCTAATTTCTCGTCTCATTACCTATCAAACGGAACGCATTCCCTTCCTTTTCTTCAACCCAAAAAAAAAATAAAGCAAAATTAAAAAGAAGAAGATTGAAAAGGCTAATAATAATCAAATAAAACAAATGAAATTCCAATTTTTTAGCCAAACAAATTTTCAATCATTGCGATAATCGTAAAGGTAGCAATGGTTGATATCCCACAAGGCGGAAGATATGTTACAACAACAATGATACCATACGTCACCACCATTGATAACTAATTATTTTTAATTTAAAAATTTGTCAACAAAATTTAGATGGAAAGAAAAACTTACAGTGAGAAGGATTTTTATAATATTCCAAAACAAATACCAAATTATGGCATACCAGTCGTCGTATATATGTCTCAATGATTGTTGATGATATATAAATAATCAAGAGGAAACAACCATTTCTGCAATTTTAGATTCTTTCAGAACTTGTACAATTCTTGAGATGCGTCGCATTAATTCAATATTAATTAATTAGTGATTGATAAAAGTCGTTTTCATATATTTAAAAATGAAAATATAATAAGAAAAGTATTTGCCATCTTTCCAATACTTTTGTATTATTTAATCCGAAAGAGAATTTAATTCCCGTTTCGAAAAATACATGCATTTGCAGTGAACCTGTGATAAATCTGAATTTATATCATTCCTAATGGGAAGGAATAAATATTTCGACTTCAAAACGTCAAAATATCGAATTGGCCATTTGGATGTCCAGTATATGTCCCATTCAGGCGAAAAGTTTTCCATCACTTTTGGAAAAATATGAGAAGAGAGAAAAGAAGATTTGAGGATAAGTTTGTCTTTTGTGAATGAACATTCACTTATAAAGCTTCCTAAAATTTTCCAATCATATTTCTAAGCTAAATAGAAGATGAACACAAGTAATCAATGTGTCCTAATTGAAAGTCGCATGGTTCTTTGGTCGGAAGAATCAAATTTTGTCTTGAATAATAATCAACTGAACCAAGGACCGATTATTGCTTCAACATCTATCGCATTTAAATCATTGGAGCATTAATGCGTTCATTTTTCACTTAAGAATATATAAGTAGAAAAAAGAAGCGAAAAATACTGTAGATATTTCTCAGAGGATTCTGGGATATATATACCATGCAACTATTTGAATTTCCTCGAAGATTCTGAAAGACATCCAGCTCCTTGGATCTACGAAAGATTCTAGGTGGTAGATATGATATTACATAACTATTTGGATTTTCTCGCGGATTCTAAAAGACAACTGCCACGAAATTACTCAGATTTTCTATAGGATTCTGTCAGGTAATAACTACCTCTTTAATTCACACAAAACTGGAACAATTATGGATGCGCGATGTACATGTAAAATGATTAAAACCACAATATCCACTAAGAGGATATTTCTAATTAAAGGAAACAGAAGGAAGGAAATATTCGAAGAGAGTGAACTTTATCATTTCCAATAAATATTAGAAGTGGTTCAGTTCCAACGATTATCAAAGCAATTATCTCATCCAGTTATCGATGTAATTCTTAATTTGTATGTATTTTCGTTACTTTGTCAGGGAAATCAAATTCAGCTGTTAACAATAAAACGTTTCTCAGTTTCCTGAAATTTCCAATTGAAATTATCAAATTTTGCAAACAATTAAATGTTCCACTAAAAATGATTCACACTAACAATTATTGCTTTTGGTACATTTATCTTTTGCTTAGCAACTCATTGGCTGAAATTGGCTGAAAATTGAAATTGGAATTGCAAAACTTGAAAAATATCGAAAAGCATGTAATCTACTTGTAAGCTCAAAAAAAAGAACAAATTATAAGCATCGTCCGATCAATCAACACAAACAGACTTGAAAGAATGTCAACTGTCGAAAGCGTTACAATGTCAAATTATTAGTTTCGTCACTTGAAATGCTACAGTGTGCGACATTTGGACAGTTTTTGGTGCTCATGTCAAGTAAACAGTACAAGACAAACTCTGTGGAAATGAGGAAGTGATCGATGACAGAGTGTGAATTTCCAGTTCGCCAAAGCTTTTCTCTCTCTCACCCACTTGAAAATTATTCTTTGTTTGCCTAACAAGAAAAGCTTAAAAGATGAAGCAATTCGAAACTGCAAGATATTCGATTACAACTGAAATGCGATACGACCACCAGACAACGTCAACAACAACAACAAACTACAACAACAACAACAACAACAAACAACAACAACAACAACAACAACAACAACAACAACAAC